ATGTCAGAGCAGAACTGGATAATGTTAACCTGTGGGTGAACAACAGAATGCCTGGAGTGATGAGGGGGTAGGTTATAGGGTAAATTGTTAGAAGAGTTAAAGAACTGCATTTACTTCAGGAAGGTCGGCTTGGTCTCTCTCTCCTTCTTTTTATATGGGGCTTCAGGCAACATTTGAACCCAGGCTAGAAGCCCAGAGCTGCATTCTAAGAAAGGTACGTGGGCCTGGGGAGGGCAGCTGGAAAGCCCTGCTGGAAAGCAGGGCAAGGCTCACGGGAATTCCAGACCTTTACCGCAGACACAGAAGAAATAACGAAGCAATGGCAGCTCTTCCAAAGAGGGGGAGAAAGTGATTCCTTCTGCTTCCAGAGTGAAGCACTCCACCTTTTAGGATTTGGAATGTCCTTGCTCTGTCAGGCTGTCTTAGGCCCTACATCCAGTTAACAGGCCTCACCCATTTCACAAAACCCATGGACGCCCTCCATTCAGGAGAGAGGCCTGGGGGCGACGGCTGGCTGGGGGCACAGTGGAAGCCATCCACAGCCCCGTTCAGCCTGTTCTTTGACCTTGAATGTCAGTAGACAGCCAGAGGTCCTCAGACAAGCAGAAGCAATCAGGTAATAAACAGTAGAATTACAGAGAAAACAGGCAATTCAGGGAACAGAAAAGAACTTTTAAGAACTATAATTAGGGTCCTCAGAGAGATTTGAAAGGAACAACCAGTAAGGAAGCTTTCTTGAAAGTTAATACAAGGATTGTCAGAATTAAAAATCCATAGAAAAACACCAAATGAGACATCTGGAAAATAAAGTCACAGGCAACAAACAAAAAAACTCTGGAATATAGGGGACAGAGGTGAAAAATAAGAGAAAATTTAAGAGAGCTGGAGGATGAATCCAGCAGGGCTAACATTTATTGAATAGGAGTTAACCCGGGGGAAGAAAGAAGGAAAGGCGGGCAGAAAACCAGTCAATAATGGAAGGTTGACTTCTCGTCCGCGGTACTGGGTACATTCAGAACGTCCAGGAGAGGATGCCCTGTGCCGCAGCGCCGTCCCCAGGCAGGCACGGTAGCAGGAGTGAGAGCCAAACCCCAGTTAGCCTCTCGCAGCCAGGGCTCAGAGGCACCCGTCACAGACCCCTCTGAGGCAGAGTGAAGAGTTTAAGAACGAGGAAAATGAAGGAGATAGGAAACAGCAAATCAAAGTTATACCAGAGAGTTGGTCCAAATAACTGCTAACTTTGGTTGAGGTGTTTCTACACAAGCAGGGTCGCTGGGAGGCAGGTAATGGTGAGGAAGGCAGCGGGGGGAGGGGTGCCAAGCCCGCAGCCTGCGAACATGTCCGTGCTCAGCAGTTGCACACACACTGTGAACATTGCACCTGTGTAACTAGCGCGTGGGCTATTTAAACTAATTTATCAGCAAAGGGTGGAAATCAAAAGGGAAACACCTAGAGACAGAGAAAATACAAACCGTAACTAACACAGGATGGCAGAAATCAGCCTAAGAGCCACAACTGAATGCCTTCATGCCCCTAGTGAAAACAAACACTTAGCCAAGTTGTGAAAGAAAGTCTCGTCATCTGAAGTTTGAGAAAACAGTTACATAGAAGGATGGAGAGAGAATGGATCGAAAAATATGTACCAGGCAAATGCCTACAGTCAGCAAGTGTAGCAATATTAATGTCAAACTAAATGGAATTCAGAATTTAAAAATAGCATTCAAAAGCACAGAGGGATGCTTTACACTGAGAAAAGGTAAAAATTCACTGAGGAGATACATTGCCATCAAACTCTCTGTATTATCAACATAATATTGTCTTATAAAACCTCAACTTGAAAGTATGACAAGAATGTGGTATTTTCTCTTTCCAAATGAAACTTTACACTTTTCTTAGAAGTTGATACATCAAGTACATAATAAAAATAAGGATGAAAAGAGATGTTGGGCAGACTTTTAACCTTGATCCAAAATTAACAGGTACTAACTCTGTATCCCATAAATGGAGAAGCACATTCTTTACAAATACTACTGGGATATTTATGAAAATTAAGGCTGACTTGCCTTAATTGTATTTTTTTCCCCATATGATACCGATTTATTGGTCTTTGCTGCGTTTTTTTTTAAATTGAGGTATAGTTGACATGCAGTT